TTGTCCCTCACTTTTTGGGGGTCAATTTAATTCTGATTCTATTTTGCACTTTACGTGGGTTGTGGGGGTTTGAGTTAGATTAGAATAGAATGTGTACTTACCCAGGAAGACGTATGCTAGTTAGGTTAGGTGTGCTGTTGGTTTTCTGTTTAACAGCTAGTTTCACCTCAGGGGTTTTTTGTTTTATTTTTGAGCTGTCACCGGGGGATGTTTTTTATTTTTCTGACCGATTAACAATTACTACATTTTGTATTGAGGTTGTACTGTACTCTTTTCTTTCCACAAGGCTTTGTAATAAATAATTTAAACATTATCAGCTGGAATGTCAAGGGCTTAAATCACCCTGTTAAACGCAAGAAGGTCATGACACATCTAAAGCAGTTGAAAGTGAATGTAGCCTTTCTACAGGAGACACACCTGAAAACCTCTGACCAACTAAAAATAAAATCTGGATGGGGAGGTCAATATTTTCAGTCTACCTTTCAGGCCAAAGCTAGAGGTGTAGCCATAATTATTAGTAAGGACTAGTGTTAATTTTAGCAGCCATTTTTAAATTTAGTTTTAGTCCAGTTTCAGCATCGTTTGTTAGTTTTTAATCACATTTAGTCGACATTAGGGGTGGAACGATTCACAAAATCCACGGTTCGGTTCGATTCACGGTTTCTGGTCACGGTTTTCGGTTCGGTTCGATACATGTTGATTGTTACACCGAAATCCCATAAAAATTTATGGAATTAATTAAAAAATCCCCCCAAAAATAATGGATTGTAATTATTTTAAATGATCTGTGGAAACCCTGGATCATTTCCGTATGTTTTGCTGCTTTGAATTTCATCATCTCGCGCATGCTCTCTACCATCTCCAAGGGACTCAGAGGGGAGCGGACGAAGCCACAGTGGGGGCTGTAGGCTTTGCTTTGAGCAGCCAGTCTGAGGCACAGCGGGGCGGAGCGGGGGTTGCTGACGGAGTATGTGGGATTTCGGGGTTAGCATGACATGTTGGTCATGTTGCTGTTAGCGTAAACAAAAACGTGTTGCACAATGCTCGCACACTGTTGCACTTATATCCACAACTTTCTTTCCGCCATCATCGTAGGTCACTCTAAATGCTGTATGCAAAGTCTCCCATACAGCAGACATATAAAGTGCTGCTGGCGCATCTTCCAACTCCTGTTCTTTCCCACTCGCCATTCCGACACAATTCTCCACAACAACTGATTTTTTACTGCTACACCCGGCTACGCTGCTTCGCTTCTTCTTCTTGTTTACTACTGGTGGTTGGCTTTGGTCGCAGTACCGCCACCTGCTGCTCTGGAGTGTACACGCTTCACCTATGGGAAATAGGAGCAGCGCATGACCTGAATGCAACACACGCATATCGAACTGAGACAGTCGAACCGAACGGTTCGGATGGTTTTCATAAACCGTTCCATCCCTAATATATATGCGTGCGTGTGTGTATTTTCAAGCCATGACAGGGGTGTGTGTGGGCATGGGATCAGAGATTGCATGACTGATTGAAGAGTAGGGCTGGGTATTGTTCAAAAATTTTCGGTTTCGGTACCAATACCGATACCTTCACTTCGATACCGGTTTCCTGAACGATACTTTTTTCGATACAAATTTTATAATATCAACTCGAAGAAAAAGCCGATATGTGGGGGTCTGAGCGGCTCCAACAGAAATAATATTGGAAGGTAGGACGGTAATCTGGATGAACTGACTGCACTGATTAAGTTTTCAGGTGGATTTTCCCACTTAAAAACACAATAAAACAACTTTATTCCCCCTGATCACAGCAAATATAGCTGCAGGGCAAATAAAGGATAGAGTAGCTCCGCCCAACGTGCGTCAGAGCCACTTTTCGACCAAGCAGCCAGAGCAGCAAAGCTGCTTCAGCCGCGCGTCAGAAGCTGGTACAAACAGCAAAAAATGAAGCAGCAGACGCGATTTTGCTGCTCCTGCTGCATCCAGTTTGAAAGCAGCATGATTCAGTCCACTCTGGCTTTGCACTGCCCACGGGCTGCTGAGAGGAGGATGGTCGCGCCGGCTGCGGTCCGCTCTTCTTGCAGTCAAACACCGAGCAACTTTCTGCTCTTAAATTGTTTCCGTACACGATGTATTGCATTGCGCACTATTGGCATCAGTCTTAATAAAGTGAAGCCACACTTTTGACCTGGGGGGCATTTTAAAGGGGTTCCATGACGCTCGCAACCAGTTCACAACAGATACACATGAACTCTGGCTGTAGGCATGACAACCTGGGTATTTTTCCTGGATGACGCAATCACGTTAAGTGTTACAGGCAATCACCGAAACTTGGTACCGAAAGACGAGTTTCGATATTCTGTAGAACCGAAGCATTTCGGTCGGTACCATAAAAGAACCGATGTTCGGTACCCAGCCCTATTGAAGAGTAAAGTTGACTTTTAAAAATCCAATACCAAAAAATGCCCAGAAGATGGCAAAAGTGCATCTATATCTACCACCTGCGTGTACCAAATTTCTTTTGATACCCAGTTTTGCTGCTAAGCGTTGTCCTTAACTGGTTAATAGGTAGATGAAATTCAGTCTGGCATTTAGAGAACATTAAAACGCTATTTATCTGGCGACTTGAGCAAGAAACGAGAATAGGAGGTACATGCTTTCCTAAGACCCTCCCCCTTCTTCTTTTGATTGGCTAATACTGTTAGTTTCAGGACATTCCTTTGTTACCATTGGCTGACAAGTGCAAGAGGAATTTCAATTGTTTTTTTTTTATTTACCATCAATTAATTTTTGAGTGATTGTTTTTTTACCAACGAGAAATTGCTTCGAGACGGAAATATTTTAATCCCTGTGTAATGTTAAGGTGATTTCTGTGTCGCTCGCTGATCTAGGTCTGATCAGCATTAACCTTCCCAACATGAGATCCAAGTTAGTGATTCAAACACATTCATCCTCAGTGGACACAGAAATATATCAGGGAGCTTGGATTTGTGATATTCTGTAAACGGGTTCATTACATTGTAAGTACAGGTGGTGGCATGGATGCATCCACCTGTCTTTAAGAAACATCAGCGGTTTCCAGCTGCAACAACCAGTTAATCTATCACACCCAAAGTTACAATGCCAGCAGTCCCGCTGCCATAACTAATGGCAGGTCCTCTGGAACCTTTGGCAGCTGCAGTGGCATGCAGCTGCCACAAGGTGCCATTAAGTCAGCAGAGCACCTGCTGCATTTCTATTGCTGTTTATGGGCCAATGGTCTGCTATTGGCTGCTAGACTTCCTCACCAACAGACCTCAGTCAGCCCGGGTCAGACAGAGCACCTCTGATGTCATCAGTCTAAGCACAGGCTCCCCTCAGGGCTGCGTCCTGAGCCCCCTGCTGACACATGACTGCGTCCCCAGGTTCACCACCAATCACATGGTGAAGTTTGCAGACGACACCACGGTGGTGGGCCTCATCAGAGACGACAACAAACTGGACTACAGAGAGGAGGTGGAGCAGCTGGTGGACTGGTGCAAAGATAACAGCCTGATCCTGAACGTGGAGAAGACCAAGGAGATCATCTTTGACTTCAGGAAGAACCGTCCTAACCACGCTCCACTGCTCATCAACAGCTCAGCTGTAGAGGTGGTCAGCAGCATCAAATTCCTGGGGGTGCACATCACAGACACCCTCACCTGGAATGTAAACACCACCTCACTGGTCAAAAGGGCACAGAAGCGCATGTTCTTCCTGCAGAGGATGAGGAGAGCCCACCTGCCCCCACCTATCCTCCCCACCTTCTACAGAAGCACCGTAGAGAGCGTTCTGACCAGCTGTCTCACTGTGTGGTGTGGAGGCTGCAGCGCCTCAGACTGGAAGAAGGTGAGAACAGCAGAGAGGATCATGGGGAATGAATTCTGTTGTGTGCATTAAGATTGCATTTCGGAGTGAAGCTTTTTCCGCAGGACAGGCATATGAAAGGCTTCTCACCAGTATGAATTCTCATGTGTTCAGTAGGGCTGTCGCGGTGGAGGAATTCCCCCTGCGATTATTCAAGGAGGCTAAATATCGCAATATGCGGCATTAAAGGAAAACCAGCATGTTAACCTGATGCTGTTTGAGAGGATCTGAGAGGGGCGACAACATTTCCAGCGACACTGAAAACCCTCTGGGACGGTGCGCTCGGAGGAACGACCGGAATGCAGGTTTCTCCACAGTGGAAAATGGCAGCATTTCTTCAACCCGGTACCGTGTAACAGCGGCTGTTTATGTCTGTCACTGTCTCTGCTGTACTTAGCGACTCGAGCAAAGGCTTCGCCGACCCCAAGTTGTCGCCTGGCACCGAAATGAGCCGCCCCACCACTCTGTGTGGCAGGAGGCGGCGGTAGCTGCTCCGTAACAGCTGGGTGGTAGCTAGCTAGATGAGCCCTTAAATTTGTTGTGTTTCCACGTTTTACTTGAACCGTTTTGCCGCAGATTTTACAAATAGCCTTATTTAAATTGTCAGACTCCCCCTTTTCCTTTGGCTGAAAACCAAAATGCTCCCAAAGGAGCGAAGTAACCTTTGGTTTTGATATCAGTGCAGCTGCCATTGTTTCCTTCTCAACTGTTGTCCCAAGATGCGGTGATGGCGGTGGCTGGTTTTGTAGCGCGGTGAGCTTCTTGATATCGCCATATTTCATTGGTGCGGTTATTGTGACAGCCCTAGTGTTCAGTTAACTTACCCCTTAGAGTAAACTGTTTGCTACAAATAGAAATGGAGAAAGGCTTCTCATTGCTGTGAATTCTCATGTGTTCATTAGGGCCAGATTTTAAGATAAAGCTTTTTCCCAAAGACAAACATTCAAACAGCTTCTCACCAGTATGATCTCTTGTGTGTTTAGTCAAATTACTTTCTACAGTAAACCTTTTGTTAACAAATAGTACAGGGAAATAGTTTGTCACCTGTATGAAGTCTGATGTGTGTAACAAGATTTAATTTCTGAGAGAAGCTTTTTCCACAGGACAGACATTGATTAATCTTCTCACCTGAGTGAGTGCTCTTGTGATCCATTAAATGTTCTTTTTTTGGAAAGATTTCTCCAAATGTCAAACCTTGGAAAGGTTCCTCCATTCGGTCTTCGGTCTCCTGCTTCAGACCAAGCTGTTCTTCATGCTGAATTATGGGGTGCTCCATGGTTTCCTCTTTAGTCCAGGGATTTTCTGGTTCTTCTTTTATCTGCAGAGCTTCTGGTTCCTCTTGATCCAAACTGGAATTCCTCCCCTGTCCACAGAGCTGCTGGTCAGAGAAATCCTCCTCTTTTCCAACATAATCCTGCAGGCGGTCTGGAAAATCCAACACAGCACACAAACCAAACCTTAGTTTTCCAAACATTTCAATTATTGATGTTTTACTGCCATCTGAAGTGTTAGAACATCCTGTGGGATGACCATCTATCCTTGATTTCGATTTAGACAACCAGTTTAAAATAACTAAACCAACTTATTCAAACCAAATATCTCTCTTAACCTTCTTGGAATAAATTCCATCTTGTTTTACATTCATTGGCAAAATAAGCATCTGTACGTCTGTTTCTATCATGACATCAAAACAAATGTGTGTACACGATCATTTGATGAGATATTATTAGGGGCGACCATCAAAAAAGGACAATTTTAGGACTTTTCATTTAAAATCATGACAGGGACAGGATACTGCATCATCCAGAGACTTTTGATAAATGCAGTTTGACTGTTGTCAACTACTGGACACCTTTAGCTATCATGTGAGGCGACCACCTCAGAACATTGAAAACTAATCTTTAAATGTAGATCTACGTTCTGATGATCAATTTGATAGTGTAACGTCATGAGAAGTACCTAGCTTGGTTTCTGTAGCTAAATATTAGGTTGGAAGTGAACATAGAATTTATCTGGGGTGACCGAGGATAAAAACTATTGAGTGTTTTACATGACATATGATTTCCTCAGTTTCTATTTATTTACACATAAAAGTTACTTAAACTGCCTATTTATTTAAACACATTCTTCAAATTCAGTCATTTATCGTTACTACTCAGGAGTAAACATTTGTCTTTGATTATAGTAAAATCATATGAAAAAGACAAAACTATGAGGCACAAAAGTATATTTAAGTAATCATAGATTTATTAGTCATATTAAACCCTTTTGACCAATTTTTCAGATGGCGCCATTAACAAGCAGACAGAAGACCGGGATCAGCAGACAGCAAGTCAACTCAGACCCTGAAGCAACAGTTGAAAATATATATTAAGATAGAAACTCTGGGTAGCATTTCGTCTCATTAGGCCCGAGCAGCGACAGCACTGTGAAGGCCTGACTGTGGCAGGTAGGTAGATCTCAACGAATCATGAAAAAAGTCTCTTGGAGGTAGGCTCTAAAACCTACAGGAAGTCGGCCATTTTGGGTCAAAAGCAGATTTTTGGCAATTTTTCAATTTTGTTGACGTTGAATTTTAATTAGCTCCTCCAAGTGAACTGGACTTCAAACTTGGTGTGTTTACAGATAAAATGTGAGATAAAAGAATTATCTTTTTTTTTCTTAGAGAAATTGGAAATGGAATAACTTTTACAAAAAAAAAAATCCAAATCCTACCAAGTTTGACAGTAATGAGGCCCTTTGGTTGCTTTACAATACTGGCTGGTGAAATGATGACATCATCAACACCCCACCCCCTGAGGGAAGAAAGTCACTTTTTTCAAAACATCAGGCCCAAACCATGATTAGTCCAAGAATCATAAAACTCTGTACACATTTGTATCTTGTTAGCCCCTAAAAAAAATAACCTCTTGGAGCCATGGTCTAAACCCTACAGGAGGTCGGCCATTTTGAATCGTTTGTACCCTGTTGAAAAAGGATTGAACCATTTTCAAACAAAAAAAATAAATAAATCAGCCTTTTATCTAATGGAGCTGAAAGGTTCAAAATAGGTTCCTTTCAGAGCTTTTTGTAAGTTGGTAAGTTTGTGTTCACAGGAAATTGTGGTTTTAAAATGTTTTAAAACAATCCAAGCCAAAGTTATACCAGTTATTCATCCTTTGAACTGTTTAGGAAAGAAACCAAAAAAATTAAAAAATTAAAATTCTAGTGTGTGTATGTATATATATATATATATATATATATATATATATATATATATATATATATATATATATACATATACATATACAGGTGCTGGTCATAAAATTAGAATATCATGAAAAAGTAGATTGATTTCAGTAATTCCATTTAAAAAGTGAAACTTGTATATTATATTCATACATTACATACAAACTCATATATTTCAGATGTTTATTTTGTTTAATTTTGATGATTACAAATGACAACAAATGAAAATCTCAAATTCATCATATCAGAAAATTAGAATATTACTGAAGACCAATAAAAACAAAGGATTTATAGAAATGTTGGCCAACTGAAAAGTATGAACATGAAAAGTATGAGCATGTACAGCACTCAGTATTTAGTTGGGCCTCCTTTGGCCTGTATTACTGCAGCAATGCGGCGTGGCATAGAGTCGATCAGTCTGTGGCACTGCTCAGGTGTTATGATAGCCCAGGTTGCTCTAATAGTGGCTTTTAGCTCTTCTGAATTGTTGGGTCTGGTGTATTGCATCTTCTTCTTCACAATACCCCATAGATTTTCTATGGGGTTAAGGTCAGGAGAGTTTGCTGGCCAATTAAGAACAGGGATACCATGGTCCTTCAACCAGGTACTGGTAGCTTTGGCACTGTGTGCAGGTGCCAAGTCCTGTTGGAAAATGAAATCTGCATCTCCAAAAAGTTGGTCAGCTGCAGGAAGCATGAAGTGCTCTAAAACTTCCTGGTATGTGGCTGCGTTGACCCTGGACCTCAGAAAACACAATGGACCAACACCAGCAGATGACATGGCACCCCAAACCATCACTGACTGTGGAAACTTTACACTGGACTTCAAGCAACGTGGATGAAGTGCCTCTCTTCTTTTCCTCCAGACTCTGGGACCTTGATTTCCAAAGGAAATGCAAAATTTACTTTCATCAGAGAACATGACTTTGGACCACTCACCAGCAGTCCAGTCCTGTTTCTCTTTAGCCCAGGCAAGACGCTTCTGACGCTGTCTGTGGTTCAAGAGTGGCTTGACACAAGGAATGCGACAGCAGAAACCCATGTCTTTCATACGTCTGTGTGTGGTGGTTCTTGAAGCACTCACTCCAGCTGCAGTCCACTCTTTGTGAATCTCCCCCACATTTTTGAATGGGTTTTGTTTCACAATCCTCTCCAGGGTGCGGTTATCTCTCTTGCTTGTACACTTTTTTCGACCACATCTTTTCCTTCCCTTCGCCTCTCTATTAATGTGCTTGGACACTGAGCTCTGTGAACAGCCAGCCTCTTTAGCGATGACCTTTTGTGTCTTGCCCTCCTTGTGCAAGGTGTCGATGGTCGTCTTTTGGACAACTGTCAAGTCAGCAGTCTTCCCCATGATTGTGTAGCCTATAGAACTAGACTGAAAGACCATTTAAAGGCTTTTGCAGGTGGTTTGAGTTAATTAGCTGATTAGAGTGTGGCACCAGGGGCCATCAATTTTGAACCTTTTCACAATATTCTAATTTTCTGATATGATGAATTTGAGATTTTCATTTGTTGTCATTTGTAATCATCAAAATTAAACAAAATAAACATCTGAAATATATGAGTTTGTATGTAATGTATGAATATAATATACAAGTTTCACTTTTTAAATGGAATTACTGAAATCAATCTACTTTTTCATGATATTCTAATTTTATGACCAGCACCTGTATATATATATATATATATATTAGTGCTGTCAATCGATAAAATTTTTTAAATCGCGATTAATCGCATCAATGGCTAAGTTAACTCGCGATTAATCGCATTTTAATCACACATTTTTTTTCTGATTGAAAATCATTTAAATACTCTCGATGACATACAAAAAAAAAAATACAGGCTAGGTTTGTGCCAATGTTGTTGTTTTTTAAATGAAAACAGGTCACAGATACTGATTTATGCCATAGAAACATATGGCAAGAAGATGGGGAAAAAAATAACAAATATGTAGCCCAAAAAAAGGCCCTGAAAACAGGCTGATGTAAAAGACAGTTTTTACAGTTAATACAGTCTTTTGAACAAAGACAAGCATTTTACCCTACTGCTATAAAATGTAGTAGAGTTAACATTAGATGTCAATTAACCAACGTAATAATGAACAATTTTCAATCAATACATCAAAATCAATAGACCGACATCACTAGATGGAGGTAGTCTATGCTCTAGAAAGTTTCTTTTCAGCCTGTTAACAAAAATGAGAACACACACAAACCCATCCACACACCCACACACCCACACGATACTGACCTGTGGCGTACACAGACAGCAAGAGTGCCGTAGCAGATTCCATTTCACCTCAGTAATCTGTTTTGACATCAGACACTCAACTTTTTTGTTGGTGGTGGGGCTTAAAGAAAAGGCACTAGCGCTACCCAGTGTATGAGCGTCTTTTTTCCTTAAGGAGCTCCGCTCTCGAAGCCAATGGAAAATGCATAGGCTGGGGGAAAATAGCCCCGCCTTCCCGCAGGCTGCAGCGGGATGTACTTGGAAAATTGTACCATAAAACCACATAGCGTTAATCTCACGTTAAAAAAATTATCACACTCACCGGCCACTTTATTAGGTACACCTGTCCAACTGCTCGTTAACACTTAATTTCTAAGCAGCCAATCACATGGCGGCAACTCAGTGCATTTAGGCATGTAGACATGGTCAAGACAATCTCCTGCAGTTCAAACCGAGCATCAGTATGGGGAAGAAAGGTGATTTGAGTGACTTTGAACGTGGCATGATTGTTGGTGCCAGAAGGGCTGGTCTGAGTATTTCAGAAACTGCTGATCTACTGGGATTTTCACGCACAACCATCTCTAGGGTTTACAGAGAATGGTCCGAAAAAGTAAAAAAACATCCAGTGAGCGGCAGTTCTGTGGGTGGAAATGCCTTGTTGATGCCAGAGGTCAGAGGAGAATGGCCAGACTGGTTCGAGCTGATAGAAGGGCAACAGTGACTCAAATAACCACCCGTTACAACCAAGGTGGGCAGAAGAGCATCTCTGAATGCACAGTACGTCGAACTTTGAGGCAGATGGGCTACAGCAGCAGAAGACCACACCGGGTGCCACTCCTTTCAGC